CACATAGACACACACACAGACTGCTGAGTCCATACACACAAAGACTGCTGAGTCTATACACACACACACACACACACACACACAGACTGCTGAGTCCATACACACACAGAGTGCTGAGTCCATAGACACACAGAGTGCTGAGTCCACACACACACACACACACACACACAGATTGTTGAGTCCATACACAGACTGTTGTCCATACACAGACTGCTGAGTCCATACACACACACACACAGACTGCTGAGCCATACACACACACACACACACACACACAGACAGACTGCTGAGTCCATACACACACACACACACTGCTGAGTTCATACACACACACAGACTGCTGGAGTTCATACACACACACACACACACAGACTGCTGGAGTCCATACATGCACACACACACAAACACAGACTGCTGAGTCCATACACACACATACTGCTGAGTCCATACACACACAGACTGCTGAGTCCATACACACACAGAGACTGTTGAGTTCATACACACACACACACACACACACACAGAGACTGCTGAGTCCATACACACACACACAGACTGCTGAGTCCATACACACACAGATAGCTAAGTCCACACACACACACACACACACACAACACACACACACAGAGACTGCTGAGTCCATGCACACACACAGACACACAGACTGCTGAGTCCATACACAGACTGCTAAGTCCATACACAGACTGCTAAGTCCATACACAGACTGCTGAGTCCATACACACACACACACACACGCACACACACACAGAGATTGCTGAGTCCATACACAGACTGCTAAGTCCATACACAGACTGCTAAGTCCATACACAGACTGCTGAGTCCATACACACACACACACACAGACTGCTGAGCCATACACACACACACACACACACACTGCTGAGTCCATACACACACACACACTGCTGAGTTCATACACACACACAGACTGCTGAGTTCATACACACACACACACACACACACACACACAGACTGCTGAGTCCATACACACACACAGACTGCTGAGTCCATACACACACAGACTGCTGAGCCATACACACACACACACACACACACACACACACAGACTGCTGAGTCTTGCCATACACACACACAGACTGCTGAGTCCATACACACACACACACAGACTGCTGAGTCCATACGCACACAGACTGCTGAGTCCATACACACACACAGACTGCTGAGTCCATACACACACAGAGACTGTTGAGTTCATACACACACACACACACACACAGAGAGACTGCTGAGTCCATACACAAACACATAGACTGCGAGTCCATACACACACAGATAGCTAAGTCCACACACACACACACAACACACACACACACAGACTGCTGAGTCCATACACACACACAGACACACAGACTGCTGAGTCCATGCACACACACACACAGACTGCTGAGTCCATACACACATGCACAGACACACAGACTGCTGAGTCCACACACACACAGACTGCTGAGTCCATACACACAGACTGCTGAGTCCATACACACACAGACAGCTAAGTCCATGCACACACACAGACTGAGTCCATACACACACAGAGTGCTGAGTCCATAGACACACAGAGTGCTGAGTCCACACACACACACACACACACACACACAGATTGCTGAGTCCATACACAGACTGCTAAGTCCATACACAGACTGCTAAGTCCATACACAGACTGCTGAGTCCATACACACACACACACACAGACTGCTGAGCCATACACACACACACACACACAGACAGACTGCTGGAGTCCATACACACACACACACACTGCTGAGAGTTTAGCCACACACACACACAGACTGCTGAGTTCATACACACACACACACACAGACTGCAGGTCCCATACATGCACACACACACAAACACAGACTGCTGAGTCCATACACACACATACTGCTGAGTCCATACACACACAGACTGCTGAGTCCATACACACACAGAGACTGTTGAGTTCATACACACACACACACACACACACACAGAGACTGCTGAGTCCATACACACACACACAGACTGCTGAGTCCATACACACACAGATAGCTAAGTCCACACACACACACACACACACACAACACACACACACAGAGACTGCTGAGTCCATGCACACACACAGACACACAGACTGCTGAGTCCATACACAGACTGCTAAGTCCATACACAGACTGCTAAGTCCATACACAGACTGCTGAGTCCATACACACACACACACACACGCACACACACACAGAGATTGCTGAGTCCATACACAGACTGCTAAGTCCATACACAGACTGCTAAGTCCATACACAGACTGCTGAGTCCATACACACACACACACACAGACTGCTGAGCCATACACACACACACACACACACACTGCTGAGTCCATACACACACACACACTGCTGAGTTCATACACACACACAGACTGCTGAGTTCATACACACACACACACACACACACACACACAGACTGCTGAGTCCATACACACACACAGACTGCTGAGTCCATACACACACACAGACTGCTGAGTCCATACACACACACACAGACTGCTGAGTCCATCCATACACACACACAGACTGCTGAGTCCATACACACACACAGACTGCTGAGTCCATACACACACACACAGACTGCTGAGTCCATACACACACACAGACTGCTGAGTTCATACACACACACACACACACACAGAGAGACTGCTGAGTCCATACACAAACACATAGACTGCGAGTCCATACACACACAGATAGCTAAGTCCACACACACACACACAACACACACACACACAGACTGCTGAGTCCATACACACACACAGACACACAGACTGCTGAGTCCATGCACACACACACACAGACTGCTGAGTCCATACACACATGCACAGACACACAGACTGCTGAGTCCACACACACACAGACTGCTGAGTCCATACACACAGACTGCTGAGTCCATACACACACAGACAGCTAAGTCCATGCACACACACAGACTGCTGAGTCCATACACACACACACATACACACACACACACAGACTGCTGAGTCCATACACACACACACACACAACAGACTGCTGAGTCCATACACACACACAGAGACTGCTGAGTCCATACACACACACACACACACACACAGACTGCTGAGTCCATACACACACACACACACACACACACACACAGACTGCTGAGTCCATACACACACACAGAGACAGCTAAGTCCATGCACACACACAGACTGCTGAGTCCATACACACACACACACACACACAGACTGCTGAGTCCATACACACACACACAGACTGCTGAGTCCATACACACACAGACACAGACTGCTGAATTCATACACACACACACCCAGACTGCTGAGTCCATACACACACACGCACACAGACTGCTGAGTCCATACACACACACAGACTGCTGATTCCATACACACACACAAGCTTCCTCACTAGCATACACACACACACACACACATTTCAAGCCTACCTGTCACTGGAGGCTGTTGCTGGGGGTCAGACAGCCATCTTCTGGCCTTTCCAGCAGCAGCAAGGTCTGCTGCTTAATGGCGGGGCGGTGCTTATGTGTGGGAGGCGTGTCTTTGTTTGGGGTGGGGCCTGTGCCGGGGAGCCTGTCAGTGCTCCCTCCGGCCACAGACAACACCCAGCACCATCCAGCTCCTCTGTCCTGCATTCCCTCAGGCTGTATCAGACTGTTACAGTCTGAGGGAATAGAATTAAAGAACATGGCCAGCAAGTTGTCGGCATTATGGGCACAGCATGATGTAGCGGGGCCATGGCCCCCTCTGGCTCCCCCTAGCGACGCCACTGTTTATCTGTACTGCGCTTCTGGAGTTTGCCTCCTTCCTGTGCCATCTCCTGCAACTGGGCTCCAACTCCTGGTAAACTGCTACATAAGTCCCCTGGTAACTGTTACAGGTATGGTAGTTGACTTCCAGTGTCGGGAGATTACAGAGGTGGCAGATATGAGCAGGTGGCCTAACATTATTAATAAGGTTCTTCATGACAGGGAGCTAACAATAAACTCGACGTTTGCTTAGCAAGTAATGCATGGTTTTATTTTACCTATGTTTTATTGGGATTCATTAATATATAAAATATATGTGATTAAGTCCTTTATGGTGATAACAATGTGGAACAAATTAAAAGCTTATTGAAATTAAATAGGAGTAGAAGAAAGATAACTTGTCCAACATAGAGAGTATCCCTGACCCATAACTTTGCCTGTCCCAGCTCTTCAAATAGTTAAAGTGAATTAACTCTGGAATATGTTATGCTGTCAGAGAAAGTTCTAGCCAATGTAGTGTAACAATCAGCAAACAAGTTGACGGCTAGACTTGGAGGCAGGGCCGGCGCCACCCTTAGGTGAAGTAGGCATTCACCTAGGGCACTAGCCTTCTGGGGGCGCCCACCTGTTTATTTCCTGGTGGGCTCCCCCTGTCTTGGGTGATCTGCCCCCCCTCAGTGCTAGGCCACTCCTCCAGCCGCCCGAAGGTGGGTGCGCTGAGAACAGCCCTGTCACAGGGGTCCTAGGAGGTGGCCATCTAGTCACCTCAGGGCACCCCCTAAGTTGTCCTTCAGTATAACAGAGCAGGCACCTTCTTACCTTGATGGCAGGTGCCTGCTCGGCCATCAAATGCCAGAGAAGGCAGGAGAAGGCAGGCGGCGAGGGAGACTGTTCTTGCAGGGAGGGAGGCTGAATTGGCCTCAAAAAATAAAATTATGTGAGTTTGTGCGTCAGTGAGTGTTTGAGTGTTTGACTGTCAGTGAGTGAATGTCTGCCTGTGTGTGTGTGTGTGTCTGTCAGTGAGTGTCTGCCTGTGTTTGTGTCTGTCAGTGAGTGTGTGTATGTCTGTCAGTGAGTGTCTGTGTGAGTGTATATCTGTGTGTGTGTCTGTCAGTGAGTTTCTGTGAGTTTCTGTGTGTGTGTGTGTCAGTCAGCGAGTGACACACATACACTCGCTCACTGACACACATACACTCGCTCACTGACACACATACACTCGCTCACTGACACACATACAGTGAGCGAGTGTATGTGTGTCAGTGAGTGAGTGTGTGTGTGTGTGTGTCTGTCAGTGAGTGACAACAAAATGGATCTTTGCCTAGGGCGGCAGAAATCCTTGCACCGGCCCTGCTTGGAGGTTCATTTTGGTCAGAATCGCAATTTATCCAAATTTGGACTTATCTGGTAATTGGTCAATTTCCCAATATCCTGAGAAATGTACCCAAATAATGAACCAACTAAAATAGTTGGCATACTCATGTTTCGGTCATGATTCCAAATTCCACTCATAGAGCCAAAAAAAGATAATTAATGGGATGAAATATGATTAAAGACTACAACCAAATGGCAGAAAAATGCTCCTATCAGTGTACTGCAAAATGTATACATAATATACTATATTATGCATATATTTATTATATTATGTATATATTTTGTAGTACCCTGATTTGCCAATTTTGCACCCTTTTGATTAGTCTGATTTGGTTTCCCAAACCGTTTTCGGTACTAAAATACTGTCAAACAGACTGACATTCAGCTAATATCCAGGTGTTTTCTAGCCATACACAAGTCTAGTTGTAAGGCTCCAAAATATCTCCACTTTTTTTTTGTTATGCTCCTAATAAGAAACAATGTTATTACTTTTGGATAAGCATTTCAAATTAACAGAATCTGTTGTTTTTTCAAATGATTTATCTACAGATGTCCCCATTAAAGTCTATGAGAATTTTTGTAGATAGATAATTTGAAGGTTTATCAAACAGATTTCCATAATTTGAAAAGCTTATTCAAAAAATATTAAATGAGGCCATTATTAATCTCTGTATGAACTATTCTAAATACAGTATCCATTAGTTGTTAATTTGTGGTACATTGAGTATGCAAAAAAAATGATCACTATAGTATTTCAAATCTCAAAATCATATTTCAAAATAATAAAATAACCATAGTTCTTAATAAAGTGTACACTGTACACTGTAGCATGAATATTCTAACTTTTTCACTGTGGGTTGTTATATTAAAATTAAAAAATTTTGCAAATAAAGGATTAAGATTTCAAAAAAAAAAGGTGGTGCGCAATCCCCCCTCCCACAATTTGTGTTCAATAATACACCCGATTTGTACAATCAATAAGTGTCATGCAAAAACAATATGTAAAGCCTGTCAGTTTACAACCCTTCAATATAGGCCACTAGGGCTCCCTTCAGGTATGATAGATGCTACCGACAGATGTCTTTTGTAAGTCTAGTAATTTATCCCTTTACAAGCAGATAAAAGAGCATAGTAGTATTTTACCAGTTGCTCAGCCAATGATTTCACTTCTTATTTCACCTCACTTATGCTAAGTTCACACAAGACATCTCTTACTTTACTTTGGAGACAGTTTTCTCCAATGTATATTTTTCAGTACACCTGACCACGAATACTGGTACACCTGTAACTAGTTAGCTACACTACTGGTAAAGAAGTTTCCTTCGGTCTCCTGTACATTAGAAAGTGTGCTGGACTGCTTTCCATTACCCCAGTTGGAGTAGGGCACAGAAATCGTATGTACTTTCCATATGTCTGTATCACAATCATTAACATTCTTCTACATATTCTTCACTATTTTTACTTCGGATTCATCCATGACTTTGATTGTGGGTGCCTTGAAGTTTAATTTAAATTCTCAAGCTCTCAATTAGTTGCAAATAATTGGAATTGTTTAGAAATTGATCTTTATTATTTGAGATTATTCTGTATGTTGGCCATAATTTTCAAACTGTGCTTTAACTAACTTTGTAATACTCACAACCATGTGAGTACATTTGTCTTTTTTCTATTATTATCATTATTATTTAATTATGCATAATTTATGTATGTGTCAAAAAGAAAAAGATCTGAGTAACTTTGACAAGGGTCAAATAGTGATACTAGACAACTGGATCAGAACATCTTCAAAATGGTAAGTCTTGTGGGGTGGTCACAGTATTCAGTCTTAGTACGAATCAAAAGTGGTGCAAGGAAGGACAAGACTCATTGATGTGCATGGGGAACGAAGGCTAGCCACTCTGGCTCGATCACACCGAAGATCTACTGTAGCTCAAATTGCTGAAAATCTTATTAATACTGACCATAATGCAAACGTTGTATTCTCATTACGTTAAGTGTATATTATTATACTGCTTCCAAGTATCTTTTGGTTATTTTTGCCATATTTCAAAGGTATCAGAACACACAGTGCATTGCAGTTTGCTGCTTATGGGGCTGCATAGCCGCAGACTGATCAGAATGCCCATGATGACCCTTGTCTATCACCGAAAGCGTATTGGGGACATGAGCATCAGAACTGGACCATGGATGAATGGAAGAAGTTTGCCTGGTCTGATGAATTACATTTGTTTAAAATCAGTTGGATGGCCGGGTGTTTGTGTGTTGTTTACCTGGAGAAGAAATCACAGCAGGATGCACTATGGGAAGAAGGGAGGCTGGCAGAGGCAACACTGTGCTCTGGGCAATGTTCTGGCAAAAAAAGGTTGGTGCAGGCCAAGTATACCCCTTCATGGCAATGGTGTTCCCTGATGGCAGTGGCCTCCTTCAACAGGATAATACACCCTCCCACACTGCAAACATTGATCAGGAATGGTTTGAGCAACATGACAGAGTGACCTTTTTTTTTTTTTTGAAAGAGCATACCAAAGCAGTGCAAATAAAATTAACAAAAAGAGAAATAGCAAGAGAGTCAGACTGAATATTTCTTCACTAGACAAGCTCTGTGAGAAACCACACTACACTGTTATTTATATTCACACTTTATATCTTTGTTACTATGTAACTATGTAACTATATTCACACTTTATATCTTTGGCTTTAGATAATCAAAACATGTATCAAAGTATACATATCAAACCTTAATTAAACAAGTTCTGTTATTTACTTCTATAAATGCTAGTAAAAAAAAAAAAAAAAACTATTCTAATGCAATCAAAGCAACCAGTTATTTATTGTAAATACAAACACCAGTCAAAATGTATTTGTCATGGTTTCAGTAAAAAAATGCACCATGGGAATCTGTAACGAAATAAAACGATATAGAAAGTGTTAGATTTTCCATTTTACTAAAGCTTTTAGCAGAGTGTTACACAGTAGGTAAATATAGAGGTGGCTTAAACATTTGTAAGTATAGTGAAAATTGGTCAAGTTTATACAATGAAAGATGCACACAAGAGATAAAGAACTCTAATGTCCATAATTACAGGAAATCATTCATGGCTTTGCATACACTGTGTTCAAAAGGCACAATATACTGGTGCACAAATATACTGTGTAGTTTATACACCAAACGTAGTGGATATAAATCCCTACTGCTGTCTGGCAGCTGTCAGGAAAATACATTTCCAGATTTTTGGAAAACAGGTTTTTTAAATATCATTCCTTTCAGTGTTTTTCATAAATTTTATCTATTTTTTTTTTTTTTTTTTATTGAATCTGGAATATCACATAGCACATAGCAGAGGCAATACTTTAGGTAGTTTAGGTTAATGTAAAAAATAACAATGACTGATACAGGAATAAAGAAAAGATCAACTCAGTTTTTAAACACTATTAGGGTTGAAATACATTGCACTTTTGAAATACTCTCAGAGTTGAAAAACAACCCATTTTTAAAATACTCTTTTGGGTAACCAATATTAAGTGATCTCGGTAGAAACAGCCTACAGTCAGAAAGCTTAAGGCTAAAGTGGCTGGGAGAGTTAACAAGGAAACATACACCCACAACATGCTTGTGGCCCTTCTATTTATTCTCAAGGATGACGTGTTTTAATGATCTTACATACACATTTAACAGTAGTGTTTGTAAGAACAAACTTCACAATTGAAGAGGACGTTTTCTTAGTAGAATTGGACCATCGACACTTACAAACACAGTACAATCCTGACAACTGAGGTGACACATTCCAGTACAGAGCTCTATATTCTTGTTTGATGTTCCAATGGGCTAAGTCATAGAATGATAAATAAAGCTGATGGCAGCTGACATGTATATTATGATGACAATCGATATAAAAACCATATCTTTGGCTTAAGTTGTCTCTAACAAAGATGAGAGTTGAGATGGCAGAATCAGTACTGCAGCTGAGCATTATCAGAAAAGCCAAAAAAAGTCAAACAGTTATTTCCTTCTGTTTTTTTTTTTTTTTTTAGGCTGGTTTGCATGTGTGCCTTTTTATGCACAACAGGATATTTTATACTTGTGCAGTGCAAAAAATGTTGATTCTTCTAAACCACTTTGGTATGCGTTTGTTGTGTTAAGAAAGCAGAATCTCGTTCATGCTGTTGTTCTGCTTAGCTGCAATTTAGTACAGAAAAATAATAATTTGAGAATGTAATTAGGGCAGCCAAAACAGCAGGACAAATAGTGTCATGACTCTGCTGACTTGCAAAAACAGCTAATATATTTCCTGGCCTACATCCACTTGAAGAGCCGCTTACCAGTGAAACGCGCGTCAGGACTTAATCTGATACCTTACCCTGCTATAAACAACTCCCTATTTGGATTTTCTCTCAATATATATTTCCATTTATCATATACTTTGATCTTACATGATATATTTACTGAGGTTTAGGTAATGCAATTTAATACCAACTGCTGGTATTGGTTGCTGGCTAATTACAATGATCGGGTGCACTGGTGCCCGGTCAGATACTGTTG